CCAGACATACTTACGCTAGGTAACACAAGGTATAAGGGCATCTAGCAAAACTTTCCATTCAGTGTGTTGGAAATGATGCAAAGCACAGCCCATAAAGGGTGAATTTCTGAATATTCTGGGCCTTGTTTGCTCGAGTAGGTGCAATAACTGGATCCTTAGTTAGGTTTTGAAGAATCTCAGGAATGTGGGCTATACTGGATTGCTTCTCATCGATGTAGGCTTTTTTTTTTTTTTTTTTTTTTTTTTTTTTTTTTTTTTTTTTGGAGCCCTTTTCCTTGGACCAAGAATGATGAAATTCTAGCATTGGAAACAATTACACAAACTTCCTTTAACTAATATACTACATTTTCTACCTTTTTTCCATAATATATCAGGGAGTGAATTATTCCTCAGTCAATAAAATGAATCAATGAAAAATTAAATATCCTCTAAAAGGCTTCATTCTGAGGGACAAAAATTGTGGCAAAGTTTTTTTTTAAAGTATAGTGTCATAGAGCTGTTGTTGTTTCAAAAGAGTGCTGTCTGCCAGCAGGCCCTGTGCTGCCTCTTTCTGAGTTGTTACAACAAAGTCCTGTCAACTAATATGTGGTCATATTAGAATGTTTTATAGGTAAGTAGAAGAGAATGATATTAAAATACTGCTATAATTAGTGAGCAAAAGTTCCTATTCCAGGCAATTAATATTTATCATATTTAATCCTCACAACAGTCCTCGATATTACTAGTTTTATTTTCAGAAATTACAAACTGCATTTCAGGAAGAAAACCTACGCTTAAGTTCAGCTAATAGGTATTTGTGGTATATTTTATTTTAATTATCTGTGTTGATTGTTTATCCTTGAGGTGCTCCTTTGTGATGGAGAATTATACATCCCACTCTGTAGAACTCAGGCGTGACTATATGACTTGCTTTAGCTGATGAAATGTGAACAGACGTGATGGATGTCACTTCTGGCCAGAAGTTTTTTTTTTGTTTGTTTTAATTTTTTTTAACATTTATTTTTGAGACAGAGAGAGACAGAGCATGAACGGGGGAGGGTCAGAGAGAGGGAGACACAGAATCTGAAACAGGCTCCAGGCTCTGAGCTGTCAGCACAGAGCCCGACGCGGGGCTCGAACTCACAGACCTTGAGATCATGACCCGAGCCGAAGTCGGCCGCTTAACCGACTGAGCCACCCAGGTGCCCCCTGGGCAGAAGCTTTAAAAGCTAGCATGTGTTCACCATTTTGCTCTGTCGTGAGAAATAAGAATGTTCAAAATAGAGCCTTCTCCCTGCCAGGGGTCAGCGGTGAAATGATTTGGAAGAGCGTTGCAGCCAACTTAGTATAAGATTGTGATAGATGGTAGAATAAACCTTTATTGTCAGCCCATGACATAATTGGAATCATCTGTTTTCTGTAGCTTAACCTTTCCTGACTGACAGTACAAGACAGGACATGCGCTCAAATTCATGTCAAAGCCCATGCTTGTGCTACTCTTTTTTTTTTTTTTTTAAGGGAAATAAACCTATTAGCCTAAGAGTTATTCATCAATGTTTTCTTATTGACCTATACCCTATACTTTAGTTTTCTCTTTGTAATTTATGCTTTTCACTCTTAGGTCTATCTCTGTTATCTCTTCTCTTTGTGACCTCATCCTATTTTGACATTTTTCTGGGCCACAAAGTTATTAGCTGTGTCACGTTTTAAAATATACTTGTTTTATTCTATGTTGCTGGGTTTTTGGAAAAACATCCCATTGAGCTTTAATAACATGGCATTAAGAATATTTTTAATCTTAGTCAACAAGAGTGGGAACCAAGCAAACGTGATAGAAGTGCTCTATGAAAACGAAGTACCAAATAGACATTTTTTCCCTCTGAACAAGGTTTTGTGTCAAATGCCATTCAGATTTGTTATATGTCATATTTTTATTGAAGACTTATAACAGTCCTATTTTGTCTAATCATTACTTTATCTTTTCATGTATAAATACCCACCTCATTAGTTATTTATAGCTAATGAAATAATCCCATTTCTGTTAAAGTTTGCACTAAGTTTATTTAAATTTCACCTAAATTATTACCAGTTGGGGGCCTAAGTCAGGGTGGCAATTATTTCAACCACTTAGAGTGGTCTGTTGGTCATACTTTCTAAACATTGCCATGCAACAACTTATCCTAAATTATACACTTTACCTGTAATATACAGATTAACTTTTTTTTCCATAGTTCCATGTGTCTTAAAATTGAAGGTAAACATTGAATCTTGTGCGTTTCTATCTAACCTAAATTAGTTATGCATATTTAAAATAGTATGTTTGAGGGGCGCCTGGGTGGCTCAGTCACTTAGGTATCTGACTTCGGCTCAGGTCATAATCTTGCGGTCTCTGAGTTCAAGTCCTGCATGGGGCTCTGCTCAGAGCAGACAACTCAGAGCCTGCAGCCTGCTTTGGATTCTGTGTCTCCCTCTCTCTCTGCCGCTCCTGCACTCACATTCTGTGTCTCTCTCAAAAATAAATAGTAAAATAATAATAAATAAAATGGTATGTTTATTTTGGTATCTTACTATAATTACATAATTTATGAAACTTACTTAAAATTACTAATAACTGATTTTGATAATGGAATTATACAGAAACACTTATACCAAAAGCAAATTGTCTTTGCCTTTTTACCTTGAATGTTAGAGTGCATCCTTACAGGGTTAAAAAAGTTTTTGTTTATTTTTAGAGTATAGTTGACACAGAGTGTTATATTAGTTTCAGGTATACAACAAAGTGATTCAACAACTCTGTATGATGCTGTGCTCACCACAAGTGTAGCTACCATCTGTCACTGTGTAACTCTATTACAACACTGTTGACTATATTCTCTACAACTATCTTTTATTCCTGTGACTTATTCCATAACTGGGAGCCTGTATCTCCCACTTCCCTTCACCCATTTTACCCTTTGCTCACACCTTCCTTCCCACTGGAAACCGTCTGTTTGTACTTATATGTCTGATTCTGCTGTTTGTTTATTCATTTGTTTTGTTTTTTAGATTTCACATAAAAGTGAAATCCTATGGTGTTTGTTTTTCTGATTTATTACAGTTAGCGTAATACCCTCTAGGTTCATCCATATTGTCATAAATGGCAGGATCTCCTTTTTAATGTTTATTTTTGAGAGAGAGACAAAGTAAGCAGGGGAGGGGCGGAGAGAGAGGGAGACACAGAATCCAAAGCAGGCTCCAGGCTCTGAGCCATCAGCACAGAGCCCAATGTGGGTCTTGAACTCACGGACTGCAAGATCACGACCTGAGCCGAAGTAGGATGCTTGACTGAGCCACTCAGGCGCCCCCATGTACACCACATTTTTAAATCCATTAATCTGTCAATGGATACTTGGGCTGCTTCCACATCTTGGCTGTTACAAATAATGCTGCAATAACCAAAAAGATGCATGTTATCTTTCAAATAAGTGTGTTTGTTTTCTTTAGGTAAATACCCAGTAGTGAAATTATCAGATCATATGGTACTTCTGTTTTTTTGAGGATCCCCTCTGCACCAATTTACATTCTTATCAACAGTCCACCAGTGTTCCTTTTCCCCATGTCCTTACCAACATTTGTTATTTTTTGTCTTCTTGATTCTAGCTGTTCTGACAGGTGTAAAGTGATATCTTATAATGGTTTTGATTTGCTTTTCTCTGATGATTAGTGATTTTCATATGGCTAATGGCCATCTGTCTGTCTTCTTTGGAAAAACATCTGTTCAGATTCTCTGCACATTTTTAATCAGATTGTGTGCTTTTTTGGTGTTGAGTTGGATAAGCTTTTTATATATTGTAGATATTAATCCCTTATCAGATATATCATTTGTGAATATCTCCTCCCATTCAGGAGGTTGCTTCTTTTGTTGATGGTTTCTTTGCTGTACAAAAGCTTTTTATTCGGATGTAATCCCAGTAGTTTATTTTTGCTTTTGTTTCCTTGGCTTTAGGAGACATATGTAGAACAGTGTTGCTACAGCCAGTGTCCAAAGAAATTACTGCCTGTGTTCTCTAAGAGTTTGCATCGGTCATTTTATAGATTATAATGCATAATGTGTTGTTGGCTGGATATCATGTGGTATTCAGATCCATTAGCTTAACAAATACATATTTGTTTTAAATTGTTAAAAACCTTGATCTAATACTTTTTAATAATACAGTTTTCCAAGGTAAATGACTTAAGGGCAAAGTTTAAATTTAATCCCCACAGTCCTACTATATTGTGTAGTTCTCGTCTTTCATCCCCTCAGAATTTGAAGTAGCTGTTGGAATTGACTGACACAGGTATTTAAGCTGTGCTGCAGATAGTAAATGAACTTCAGTCCCCATCTCTCACTGTTTCTCTTCTTCATCTCTCTCATCCACACAAACTCCTGGATGAGGTTTGGCTGCTGATGCCTTGTGCCACCTCTTTTCACAGTTTCACGGTGACAAGTGTCCTGAAGCTCAGGGTCGCTCTTTATTCAAGTATGTGCTTAAAAGTTTTTTTTTTAAGGTATTGTCAGTTTGATAGCTGATATACAACTGACCCTTGAATAATGAGGAGGTTGGGGGAACTGAGCCCCCTGCCTCTGCAGTTGAAAATCCAAATAAAACTTTTGACTCTCCCAAAACTTATTAATAGATTTCTGTTGATAGAAACCTTACCAATAACATAACAGTTAACATATATTTTTCATATATGTTATGTACTATATATTTATAGTAAATGAGAATAAATTATTAAAATCATAAGAGCAAATACATTTACAGTACTATACTGTATCAGAAAAATACACATATAAGTGGACTACACAGTTCAGATCCATGTTGGTCAGGGGTCAACTGTAGTCTGTTCTCTTTTTATAGAAAAACTTGTATAGAAAATGACAAAGGCAGTATGAAAGATATAGGCCTGCCTTTTTCATTCTGATCTTAACAAAACTTTAAAGTATGTATAAACCTTTAATAAATAATTCTAAGTTGTTTTGGTTTTATATACTTTAGATGCTGCTGTTAATTCTGGAGAACTGTGGTTTGTGAACTTTTACTCCCCAGGATGTTCACACTGCCATGATTTAGCTCCCACAGTATGTATTTTTTACATCCTGATTATTAAAGTTTTATTACTTCTAATCTGTTGAGTGCTTTTTTAATGTATGAGGATTTTTTCTATTAATAGTAATGATAACTATCAATTATCAAATACTGCATACTTGTATGAGTTTAAAATACTAATAATACATAATAAATAAATAAATAAATAAATAAATAAATAAAAATACTCTCCTTTAAAAATGTATAGCTTGGAGAGTGTTCAAGCAAAGACAGATTATCTTATCAGAGAAATACTTATTCATTTTTTCTCATAGTGGAGAGACTTTGCTAAAGAAGTAGATGGATTACTTCGAATCGGTGCTGTTAACTGTGGCGATGATAGAATGCTTTGCCGAATGAAAGGAGTCAACAGTTATCCCAGCCTCTTCATTTTTAGGTCTGGAATGGTAAGGGGTAAAGTTGGCATTTTTTTCATTTGGAACCTTAATGATAAAAATACTAGTGAAAAACCAATATGTCGTTTTGTAGAATGTTTTGGTTTTTAAATCCTATTTTAGGTGCCATCTACCTAGGCTCTAGTCATAGTAAACATTTTGATTATGTTATAAATACATTCAATGCCATTACTTTGACCTTTTTTACTTCAAAATTAAATGTTTGCCATCAGTTTCTGTCTTAACACAATTTAACCATTATAAATGTTGTACTCTTGAGAGAGAGTGCTTATTGTATATAAAATAATGTACAATTAAAAGTATTCAGTAATACTTTCAGTGAATTTTTAAAAGAAATAGTAAAAGATGCTTCTCTTTTTACAAAAAAAAAAAAAAAATAATAGGCCGCAGTGAAATATCATGGTGACAGATCAAAGGAAAGTTTGGTGAATTTTGCCATGCAGCATGTTAGAAGCACAGTGACAGAATTATGGACAGGTAATTTTATTTTCTTCATTTGTTTCATTTTCAAGGATACTTTGAAAATGGTATTTTAAGTTTTCTCCAGTAACAGGGTTAACATTTTGGTCATATTGAAATTTTAACGTATCTTTTCCATGTTTTTTAGAAGGGAATTTTGTTATTCTGACCTCTGCTAAATAATTGGCATTTAACAAATGAATCTTATTTGTATAGAACAAACAGTTAAGATGTGGGAAATGAATATGATGTGATGTGAGGTGAAACAACTTTCAAAGTAGAACTGAATGTCTGGGTAACGAAGTGTTTTATTGTTCTCATAAGTGTACTGCATCAGGCCATCACTTCCTGCCCATCCAGTGTAATTTTAAAGTTTAAAAACTCTTACTTCTAATCTTAGACTTCTGACTTATCAAGTGACTTTAGGTGGATTATTTAACTACTCTGTGCTACCCATGAAATGGTAGTATTCACATCTAGTAAGGTGTTTATGTCATTCATTAAATACAAGTTACGTCTTGGAAACTGTGTTAAATGTTAGAGCTGCAGTAATAAAATATATAATCCCTGCTTCAAGGGCCTCATTATTTTAGCAAGTAAGGCGTGAGTAAAACCATTAAAATGCAATGTAGTAACTACTATGATAGAGGCAATCTTAGAGAAACATGAAGAACATAAAAGAACTCAGATGTGGAAGAGAGGAAGGGTTAGAAAAGACTTCTTGAATGAAGTCAGACCCAACCTGTCATGAAAATGAAGCCTTTAAAAATCACTGTGAACTTGGTAAACTGGCAGTGCTTCATCATGAATCTGACAAAAAGATGGGCAGTGAGTGGAGTGGCCTGGGGGGAGACATGGCTAGCTGAATGGGCAGACAAAGCTCAGACCACAGGGGCCTTGGTTGCCAGTTTTAGTTTCTTTCTTAATGAAATGATGAATTTAGATTTTATGTGATGAAAACAATGGAGAGTTAGTGTAGGAATTTGACATGCTTCAAGAGGATTTTTATGAATTCCGGAATTCAAAAAATAGGTAATTTGCCTTATTTTCTTTTAAGGAAATTTTGTCAACTCCATAGAAACTGCTTTTGCTGCTGGTGTTGGCTGGCTGATCACTTTTTGTTCCAAAGGAGGAGGTAATTTTATTTGTTACTTTGTTATGTTGAAGAAATCATAACACTTAATTTTTAGGTGGCAATATTTTTTTCTTCAGTTTTATTGAGATATAATTGCCTTATAACATTGTGTAACTTACGGGTATACAACCTATTGATATACTACAAATTGATATATTGCAAAATGATTACCACCATAGCATTAGCTAACATCTCCAACCTGTCACATAAGGACAATTTCTGTTTCATGATAAGAACATTTAAAATCTACTTTCTTAGCAATTTTTGAGTGTATAATATAGTAGTATTAGTTATAATCACGATGCTCTACATCACATTCCCAGAACTTGTTAATCTTATAATAGGAAGCTTGTACCCTTTGACTAGGTGTCAGTCTTAAGTATGCTACCATAATTGATTATTCAGTACTTCAAACTATAATATATATCTGAGCATAATTTTTTATTTAATGAATATCTACCTTTTTTTGTTATTTTACACTTGTTATAAAATTATTAATTTGTTAAAGTTTCATTTATAACTTTGTTTGGTGGACAAGTTTTCCAGCTTAATTACACTCATTATAATTATACCTTCAGATAGCCACAGATGTGTTTGGCAGTTTGCAAAAATGATTAGTCGTTGGGACGCCTGGGTGGCTCAGTTGATTAACCTTCCATCTTCGGCCCAGCTCATGATCTTGTAGTTCGTGAATTCAAGCCCCGCATCGGGGCCCTGTTCTGACAGTGTGGAGCCTGCTTTGGGTCCTCTGTCTCCCTTTCTGTCTGCCCCTCTCCCACTTGTAGTTGTTGACAGATGTAACCCTCCCCAAATAATAATTTTTTGGTATTATGGACTTTTCTTCATACTTAACATATAAAAAATGTATGTATGTTTGCCTTATAAAATTATATATTTGAAGATGATAACTTTCCATTTCTAGGAACCTTTCCACCAGTAAATTAACTTGAAAATTCAGTACCCCATGTACCAAACCACAAACTCCATTCAAACAATGAGATTGGCCCAGTGTTACAAAATTCATTAACATGTTTTTATACGTTTAATCCTAACATGGGTCTTTAACCCAAACTTTACCTATCAGCTTTATACTGTTCTGTTGCAAATGAATTGCCTTGCAGCTAAAATGAATCACTCACCCTATCCTGTAAGACCCATGTTAGGAAGGTATTGCCTTCAAGCAAAAATAACCCTTAGTCTAACAGTGAGGGATTTTGTTCCATTTTGGCCTAATGCACAAATTTCTGTTCATTCCACATATTAAGAAAACTTAAACTTTCTGATATTCTTTTACTTTTCATCCCAGGTAAATTGATTTTACGTGTCTTTATAGGCTCTGTGGTGCTACAGTTTCCTTCTAAATCTGTCTCATTGTATCCCAATATTCATATTTTAAGAGCTTCCGTGAAAATGAAGACAAAGTTATTTTAAGATTGTATAATATTTTAGGAAGGAAAGCTTTCTATATTCGTTCTGTGAGATTAGCATTATCCTGATACCAAAACCAAAAGACCCTACAGAAGAAGAGAACTACAGGCCAATCTCTCTGATAAACATAGATGCAAAAATCTTCAACAAAATATTAGCAAATCGAGTCCAACAGTACACTAAAAAAAAAAACATTCACCATGATCAAGTGGGATTTATTCCTGGGATGCAAGAGTGGTTCAACATTAGCAAATCAATCAGTGTGATACATTACATCAGCAAGAGAAAAGATAAAGATATGATCATTTCAGTAGGTACATAAAAAGCATTTCACAAAGTACGACATCCATTCATGATAAAAACTCTCAACAAAGTAGGTTTAGAAGGAACATACCTTAACATAATAAAGGTCATATACAAAAAACCTACAGCTAACATTACACTCAATGATGACAAACTGAGAGCTTTTCCTCTAAGATCAGGGACAAGACAAGGATGTCCCCTCACCACTTTTATTCAACATACTAGTAGAAGTCATAGCCACAGCAGTCAGACAAGAAAAAGAGATGAAAGGCATCCACATCGGTAAGAAAGAAGTAAAACTTTCACTGTTTGCAGATGATATGATACTATATATAGAAAACCCTAAAGACTCCACCAAAAAACTATTAGAACTGATCAATAAATTCAGTAAGTCACAGGATACAAAATTAGTATACAGAAATCTGTTGCATTTTTATACACTAATAATGAAGCCACAGAAAGAGAAATTAAGAATTTAGAATTGCACCAAAAAAAAAAAAAAAAAAAAAAAAAAAAAAAACCTAAGAATAATCTCAACTAAGGAGGAGGGAACTAAGTTTAGTTCCCTCAACTAAGGGAAGACCTGTACTCTGGAAACTATAAAACACTGATGAAAGAAACTGAAGATGATACAAGCAAATGGAAAGATATTCCATGCACATGGATTATAAGAACAAATGTTGTTAAAATCTCCTATGCTATCCAAATCAATCTGCAAATTTAATGCAGTCCCTCTCAAAATATCAACAGCATTTTTCACAGATGTAGAACACATAATCCTAAAGTTTGTATGGAACCACAAAAGACCCCAAATAGCCAAAGCAATATTGAAAAAGAACAAAACTGGAGGTATCACAATCCCAGATTTCAGGCTATACTGCAAAGCTGTAATAATCAGAACAATGTAGTATTGGCACCAAAAAAGACACATAGGTCAATGGAACAGAATAGAGAACCCGGAAATAAACCCATGCTTATATGCTCAGTCTGTGACAAAGGAGGCAAGAATATACATGGGAAAAAGTCCCTTCAACAAATAGTGTTGAGAAAACCACTTTAGTACACCATGATAAACACTAATTGTTTAATCCCTATATTGTACACCTGAAATTAACACTGTGTGTTAACTACTGTAATTAAAATTAAATAAATAAAAGACTGTTATATTTTAAAGGTTCTTTATATGTTTTTATCATATAGATTTGTGACATTTTAGTTCCCCCAAATCATGAGATCTCTTCGATAAAGGGGATTGTTGATAGGAGCAGATTTGAGAGTAAGATCCAAAAGCGATTCTCTTTAACTAGAAACCTTGGGAAATTAACAGGAGAGAATGGAAAAATGTGTGAGAGTGCGTATGCACGTGTGTGCTTGTGTGTGTGTATATGCACATGTGTAGTATGAAACTTAGTAAACGTGTCATTCTTGCCATTGGAGTCCAGTCAGTTGCCTTAGAATCAACATGGTAGTTTGTGGAAGGAAAGTCAAAAGGAAGTATAGACTTAATAAAGCTAAAATTATGTCATAATTTTTTTTTCCTCCCTAGATTGTTTAACTTCACAGACACGACTCAGGCTCAGTGGCATGTTGGTAAGCATCAGCTATTTTGCAAAACTATATGGCCATGTTAAGAAAGACATTTAAAAATTGATTCCAAATATTTCTTTGTAGTTTCTTGAACATTTAACTCACTTATTTATAAATTTTGTTTTTTGATAAGTGTATTCATAGCTATAAAACTTCTCTTCCTAACTAGAATTTTGGTGCTTTTATTCACTTCGAATATTCTGTAATTTAGTTATGAATTCTTTAAACAAAGGAGTTTATATTTAGTGTTCGTATCATCTCCAAATTGTATTTTGTACTGTTATGTTTTGTTATTTTGTTGCATATTTAGCTCTCATCATGCTATGGTTGAGGACATATGGTTGAGGTGTGTTGTTGATACTGTAACACTACTGAAGTTCCCTTTGCTGCCTGGGAGTTTGTCAGTTAGGAAATTTGTGAAAGATCTGTGTGTGCTCAATATGTTTTCTGTGTATATTAGGTATAATTTTTTTATCTGTTAGACCAACTTTATTAATCATGTTACTCCAATCTGCATCATTTATATTCCAAGTAAACTTTTTTGAAAGTTTTAAATTTAAAGTACAAAAGTTGGGGCTTTCCGAATAAAGCTAAATCCCTCGAACTTTCTCTTTTACTTACACGCGACCTATTTTTTGTCGCTTTCCATTGTAGGATGGTCTTGTTAACATAGGATGGATGGACTGTGCCACCCAGGACAACCTTTGTAAAAGTTTGGATGTTACGACAAGCACTACTGCCTATTTTCCTCCTGGTGCCACATTAAATAACAAAGAGAAAAGCAGTGTTTTGGTATGAATTACTTTAATTTCTTTACATATAGGTGAGCACACGCATTCAAACATAATACACCATTTTATAAACAAGGAAACGAGTCCATTTATAATGTTTAATTATTTAGAACAAATGTTTAACTTTTGGGATTCTGTTTAATGGTAAAGCCTACTTACAAGGATTATTTTTTACAATGGTATCAACCATTAAAATTTACAGCCCAAAAGTGTGGAAAACATTCTTAGGTTGTATGAATTTTCATTGGTTTTCATTTAAGTGTGTATTTTCTAATGTTAAAATATAGATCATTTGTAGGTTTGGCTCTGAGTCAGTATCTGTTTTTTTTAAAGCACCCTGTTAGATTTTCTGGTATACACTTAGTATGGAGATCACCAGTATGGTTCACCTCCCTAATTTTATGAATGAGGAGACCACGGTTCAAGCAAGTTATCAAGAAGCTGAGATAAATAATGGGATATTGGATAGATCCCTAAAGAACCTCAAAAGAAAATAATAAAAGACAAACTTTCATAAGTTTATGTCTCTGTATTTTAATTCTGCTTTTTTGATGTTGACAAAAATAACATATTCATTACTGAAATTCATTAATGGGTATAGAAATGTATACAGGCTGGGCACCTGGCTGGCTCAGTCAGTGGAGCATGTGACTCTTGATCTCAGGGCTGTGACTTCAAGCCCTACGTTGCATGTAGAAATTACTTAAAAATAATATCTTAAAAAAAAAAATGTGTAAAGACAGATGGAAAATTCACTAAAACCAAATCACCCACAGACAAGCACCATCAAATCTTGATAAATACTCTTCCAGATCTCTACTTACATATACCTGAATTATGACTTCATGCTGACAACTCTCCAGTTTTATCTGTGGCCCAGACCTCTGGCCTCCACTCCAGATACATATATATCCTACTGCCTGAATTATTCCACATCTCCCCTGGGATATGAATTGATGTCTCAAACTTAGATGGCTGTAACTATACTCCTAGTATTCTCCCATAAATCTGCTCTACCCACAGTTTTCCCAATCTCAGTTGATAAAAACCCCATCCAGTATCATTCAGGCCAAATACTTTGGAGTCCTTCTCAATTCTTATTTTTCTCATATTCTGTAACCTATGTCAGGAGAATCTGTGGTTCTTTAAAATCTTTCTAAAATCCACTCCCACTGCTATTAGAGCATTTATCACCTTATAATATACACTATTATCTTACCTTTTTATTTTTATTTTTCTCCCACAATACATTTTTAAATTTGGATGTTTTTACTGTTATATGTCAAATCCCTAGAAGATTATCTGGCATGTAAGTGGACAATATATATAATGCCTATGTATATTATATGCTATGTGCTAGAGATACATATACATATCAACAATCCCTAAGTAGCAATCCATTGACTAAATGTGACCTACTTAATCAGTGCTCTCTTGATATTTAAGTTACCTACTGTTTCATGATTATAAGCAGTGTTGTAATGAACAATGTTTGTTCATCTTTGTGCACTTCTTCAATTACCTATTTAGATGAAATAGCCATGGCAATTTTAATTTTGTTTTGCCAGATTGCCCCTACAGAAAATTTCTATTTATACTGTGCCACAGTGTATGAGCATGCCTCTTCCCTTAACATAGGCTCTTGCCTTCAGTACCACAGTCTCATGTTTTAGTGAGATCTTTCTGCTTTTTGATATAAAACTGCAAGCTCAGATGCAACCCTAGGAGACATACATCAGTGATTCTGGAAATACTGTAATACTGTAGTAACAGAGAGTGATGAATTAAATAGTCTTTGTCTCTCTTAAAAACATTCAAGTTTTTAAAAAAGTGAAATATCTTGTGGTCTGTCTCAAAGTGAATTGATTGAGAAAACATATGGTCTAACATAAACATCTTCTTGGTTATCTCTTAAATACCGTCCCGTTTTCACTATTGGCAAATCTTGCCTTATGTATTCTAGCAACAGTGTTTTCTGCTTGGTGGTTTGTTTTGTTGGCCTCTGAGTTTATTTACTTGTATGACATATGTAGTTTATATCTTCTTTAAACACTCTCCTTCCCAGGTAAATTTCAGTTATAGTACTTGACATCCATCTTTTCCCCCTTTCCTAACCCGTATACTCAGCAAACATTTATTTACTGAGTCCTTATTGTCAACAAAATTGTACTGGGTAATTGGGTAGAAAATTCACTTAATTTGATAAATGTACACACAGTATAGTGAGTCACTACAGTACGGCCCCCATTGTTTTAAGATGTGTTATTTATAACAATGTTTTACACCATTCATATCCTAATGTAATTCTAAAACCCAAAATGCCATTATCAAAGGTAATTTTGTGGCTATCTGCCATTTAAAAGTACCCAGTATTTGTTTGCATTCCATCAATAATGAAAAAAATTCAGTTTGTAATAAACTGATTTATTGTGCAGTGACTGTAATATACTAGGTTATATTAAATTATTAATTTTGTGTCCTCAAACACATATTGGGAAATAATCCCAAAAACAAGTTTGTAACTTTGCATTAGATATAAAGAGGACTTTGGGTACTATAATTAGGTTATTTTGAGGCAGACAGAGCTATTGTCCCAACTGATTTAGTGTGTTCTGTAATTGAGAAAATGGTCACCAAATGACACTTTTTAAAAGTGATTTATGTGTATATTTTATAGGAGACATGTTCTGTGTATAATGAATAAAGAACTTTTTTAAGAGGGAGGGGAGGGAGGAAGGAAGAAGTTCAGAGGTTAGACAATATCCTTTATAAATGTAAGTACCACGTTTTACTCTACAACAAACAGGTTTATAACGAGATTCTAGTGGATTAGTCACTTACATATTTATATAAGCTGCTATAGGAGTATTTTTAGTAAAACCTTCCTAATAAATGTGACTGATGTCAGTGAACTGTAGTACCATGGCATGAAAGTTTTGTTTGGGCCTTGTAAGCCCTTTGGTAACAGAAAATATTTCATATAGATCTTTAACAATATGCTAAAAATCTAAGAAAAGAAAAACAAGCTTTAAGGAAAGAAACTTAGAAAAAACCATTTTCTATTATGTTATACTTGTCATTTCTATCCAAATGGTTACTCCCATGTTGAGCACAGTTAAGCCCTGAACACCATGGTAGTTCCAACAAGTTTGTACTGGAGTTTCAGATCTTTCAAGTAGTACTTGAGTTGTAAAGTTTATAAAGCATTGGCCTTCCACAAGACATGATGAGCGTTAAAATTAATCTGAACATGATACAGTTTTTCCCCAGTAATTCAGAGGTTACTCCACGTTATCATGAAGATTATTATAGAATGCGCACCACAATTAACAGAAAATTCCATATAATGTAATTTTACATCAGTGTTTTTAAGAAACAGCCCAGTTACACAGCTTTTTAATGATTGGCAAACTATGGTACACTTTTTTAAAAATACAACATTTAGAATAAATAGCTTAAAAACTTTTTAACTTTTGTGATTTTTTTTTAAAGAGTTCTCTGTAAAAAAGGACACTAAAATAAATGGGTGTTGATTAAAAAGATTACAGTATAATTCTTTTATTTTAGTTCCTTCATTCACTGGATGCTAAAGAAATATATTTGGAAATAATGCATTATCTTCCAGATTTTGAACTACTTTCGGCAAATACACTAGAGGTAATATTTCTATTAATGATAAATGGTAGTAAATGTTGGTAGCATTTCACATGTTAACATTTTAAAATCAGCATTTGTCTCATTCATCACTAGACAGAAAGTAGCAGTTTCAAAGGATTTCATATACATATCAGTTATTCTATATTAAACTCTAATTGCTGGAGTTGCAACTTCATGGTGGGTGTAGAGTTCAGGAAAACTTAACCAGTCCTGAATGACGTCTTTCAGCAGGAGTGTCCGAAAAGTCAAGATTTTTTATCACAAAGCAACTGTGGATCTGTTTTGGAATTTTATGTTCTTGCTTATAGAACTATTTATATTGTTCACTGAGAGTTAAGCAGCTTTAGCAATACTCAGTTTGCAGTAGAATCAACTTTTTTTTTTCTACTTCTTGATCCCAGAGCCTTCCAAGTCATATCCCTACCAAACTGCTAAGCCTAAAAACAGTTTACTTCCCTACCCCCAAATTTTTAGCTATATATCATTAAAATTAGATACATTTTTTGGTACAATTGTCTGCTTCAAGATTTTATAACTTAGTGATTTTTATCTTCTTTAATAGAGGATTGATTTACATTTCATTATTGCAAAGAAATACACAATAAGCATAAATGGGTCTGAATTTTAGACAGTATTTTGAAGTAATGGGTAGGTGGCTAAAATTTAGGTCAAAGAAATAAAGATTAGAACCCTTAGAATTTCTTGACTCTGACATTATTTTTCACTTTTTCCCCCCTTTTTATCACTTCTAAGGATCGATTGGCTCATCATCGGTGGCTCTTATTTTTTAATTTTGGAAAACATGAAAATTCAAACGATCCTGAGTTGAAGAAACTAAAAACTCTACTTAAAAGTGAACATATTCAAGTAAGGAAAATGTATTCTGCCTAGCCTTCTGCTAGTGTGCTTTCCTACTAATTTAATATATAAAGTTATATTTTAAGGAACGTCAAAATGTTTATTTGAGATTCTAGGTTAAGAAACTCCTAAATGCTTTTGTTCTTCTTTTGTAGTTTTGTTTTTCTGTTAAAAACCAACAGCGATATCTAAAAGCAGTTAACTTTCATTTCTCTTGGATAGTTGGCATGTGATATATCTGTATCAGAAAATTTTTCTGAAATGCATACTATAGAAGAATGTCTTCTCCTTTTTACAATTCTTGTTTCTTGGGGCATCAGAGGGGCTCAGTCGGCTAAGCCTCTGACTCTTGATTTCCGCTCAGGTCGTGATCTCATGGTTCAGGAATTCGGGCCCCGTGTCAGGCTCTGCACTAGCACAGAGCCTGCCTAGGATCCTCTCCCTTGCTTTCTGCCCCTCCCCCTCTCATGCACGCATGCACTCTCTCAAAATAAATAAACATTTTTAAAAAATAAAGTAAAATTTGTATTTCTTTAATTTGTAATCATAGTTTAAAAATTAGGATATATAAAGAACAAAATGAATTAAAACAAATATTTAAAAATTACCCATATTCTCACTACTATTAATGGCTCTCCTACAAAATTTACTGTGTAACCTCTCAGACTTTTTCTACAGATGTTGTAGTATGTGGGCATAGGGATATATGTGCACATACATACATATTGTAATGGCCATTGTGATAGACATACATGTAAATTTGTATACGAACTTTTTAAATAAAAATGGATTCACTATTACAGTAGTCCCTCCTTTATCTGCAGGAGATATGTTCTAAGATCCCGAGTGGATGCCTGAAACCACAGAGAGTACCAAACCCTGTATATATTCTGTTTTTTCCTATACATACATACCTATAATAAAGTTTCATTCATAAATTAGGTGCAGTAAGAGATTAACAATAACAATAAAATGGATAATTAAAATAAAAGCTATGTGAATATGGGCTCTCTCTCAAAATATCTTACTGTACTGTACTCTCGTGAATTGATATGAAACCGTAAAATGCTTAACATGATGAAATGAAGTGAGGTGAATAATGTAAGCACCATGGTGTGTTGTTAAGTTACTCCCGACCTGACAGTGCTTTAGAAGAGAATCCTGTGTTCTGGACTACAGTTGGACAAATGGAAGCTGAAACGACAGAAAGTAAAACCACTGATAAGTGAGGAACTACTATATTCTCCTTTGTAGAATTTTCCATTTGACGATATCATGTATTTTCTTAAATGCCTTATAAGGCCCCTTATGCTTTTCTTATTATGCATATGTATATGTATATATGTATGTGTGTGTGTGTGTGTGTGTGTGTGTATGAATTTAGCCTTTAGGGATGGTGATCAATATATATTATTAAATATATATGATGATAAATATATTTAGATATTTAATCTATGCTAAATAGATGATAAATATCATATTTAAATATATATGATGATAAATATAGATATTTGATGATAAATATAGATGATGAATATAGATATGATAATAAATATCTATATTTATCTTCATATAGATACCATCATCCCTAAAGACTAGGTAGTATTTCACTATATGATTACACCATAATTGTTTAACAGATCCATCTTATGTTTTTTCTATTTTATGTCAAAAATACATACTGTAAAAATGCAGTATGAGGAATTTCCTTAATCAAGATTTTTTTTTTTAATTGTCCTCATTACCAGTATCCTCCATAATGTTTATATCGTTTTGTATTCTTACTAGCAACATGTGAGTAGCCATTTCTCCACACCTGTGCCAATCATGATAGTATCATTTTTTGTAATCACCATTCTTATAGGCCAAAAGTGATATATTAATAATATTCATTTTCATTTATTTGCTTTCTAGTGAGGTTGAAAAAATCTTTTGTGATTATTAACAAATCATAATTTTTCTATTTTCTCTGTGTCTCTGGCCTGTTTTCTTTCTTCTGAAAGGAGATTTATCTTTTTATTTCTTAGTGGATCCTCTAAAATCTTGCAAATATTTTTTCATGGTTTATCATTTGCCTGTTAGTATTCTTTATGCAATTTTCTTTCACACTGTATGAAATTCTCAACCTTTTTCTTATTTCTGCTTTTGAGGTCTTAAAAAGTTTTCTATCTCTCCCACTCCAAGATTATATAAGTGTCTTCTGCATTGTTAGAAGAGTGGATGTCTTAAGCAACTTCATGTTTTCTAGAATATTTTCTGTCAAGTTTTTGAACTCTCTAGGAGGCTTTGTTTTTCCTTCACTAGACTTAGTTTCAGTGTTCAATGTAAATTATTTCTACCTCTTATTTTCATGGCCAGTTAACTTCTGTTTAGAAACTGTTAGAGCAATGGCATTTCTTTATGAATATTTAAAAAATGAATATATAAGATTTTGTTTTCATCAAATTAAATTTTCTCCTTTAGGTTGGCAAGTTTGACTGTTCCTCTGCACCAGACATCTGTAGTAATCTCTATGTGTTTCAGCCATGTCTAGCAGTATTTAAAGGACAAGGAACCAAAGAATATGAAATTCATCATGGTAAGAAGGGAAAAATGATAAAAATGTGTATGTATTTTCAAATAATTTTTTATTTGTACTTTCTACCTCTTTAATTATTTTTTAACTGAAATGTAGTTGACACACAGTATTGCATTACTTTCCGGTATACAACAGTGATTCCACAACTATGTACGTTATGCTGTGCTCACCACAAGTGTAGTTCTCATCTGTCACTGTATGGTGGTATTAATAATACCTTTGACTATATTCCCTGCTCTGTACTCCATGACTTACTTAATTCCAGAGCTGGAAGTCTAGCCCCCACTCCAATTCACCCATCCCTCCAATTATCTCCCCTCTGGTAATCACCAGTTCTTTGTGTCTATGAGTCTGTTTCTACTTTGTTTTGTTTTTTAGATTCCACAAAAGTAAAATCATATGGTATTTGTCTTCTCAAACTTATTTCACTTAGCATCATTCACTTTAGGTTCATCTGTGTTGTCACAAATGGCAAGATCTCCTTTTTCATCGATGAGTAATCATATTCCATTTGTGTGTGTGTTGTCTGTGTGTATATACACATCCTCTTACCCATCTATTGATGTACACTTGTGTTGCTTCCATATCTTGGCTATTGTAAATAATGCTGCAATGAGCATGGGGTGCATATATCTTTTCAAATTAGTGTTTTTGTTTTCTCTGGGTAAATAACAGTAGAATTACTGGATTGTATGGCATTTTTATTTCTAATTTTTTGAGGAACCTCTATACTGTTTTCCACCTCTATACTGTTTGCCTACCAGTTCTTTTTTCTCCACATCCTTGCCAACTCTATTTCTTGCTTTTTGGTATTAGTTGTTCTGACAGGTGTAAGGTGATATCTCATCATGGTTTTGATTTGCTTTCTCTGATGATTAATGATGTTGAGCATCATTTCATTGGTTTGTTGTCCATTTATGTATGTGTCTTCTTTGGAAAAATGTCTCTTCAGGTCCTCTGCCCATTTTTAATTGGAGTGTGTGTGTGTGTGTGTGTGTGTGTGTGTGTGTGTGTGTGTGTAGAGTTGTAGGAGTTCTTTATATATTCTGGATATTAACCCTTTATTAAGTACGTTATTTGAAAATATCTTCTCCCATTCAGTAGCTTGGCTTTTTTTTTTTTTTTTTCCTTTTTATTCCTTCACTGTGCAAAAGCTTTTTATTTTGGTGTAGTCCTAATAGTTTTTGCTTTTGTTTTTCTTGCATAGTAGACAGGTCTAGAAAAATTGTTGCTAAGGTAATGTTGGAAATTACCACTTATGTTTCCTTCTAGGACTTCCGTGGTTTCCGGTTTCCCATTTAGGTCTTTGATCCATTTTGAACTTATTTTTGTGTATGGTGTAAGAGAGTGGTTGAGTTTTATTCTTTTGCATGTAGCTGTCCAGTTTTCCCAGCACCACTTACTGAGGAAACTTGTCTTTTCTCCATTGTATATTCTTACCTCCTTTGTCAGAGATTGACCATACAAGCATGGGTTTATTTCTGGGCTCTCTATTCTGTTTCTTTGAACTAAGTGTCTGTTTTTGTGCCAGTATCATACTGCTTTGTTTACTGCAGCTTTGTAGTGTATCTTGAAATGAGGGACCATGATACCTCTAGCTTTGTTCTTCTTTCTCAAGATTGCTTTGGCTCTTTGGGGTCTTTTGTGGTTCTTTTTACCTTGCTTTCTATAAACGTACTCACTATAAATAACTTTGCTTTTATTAGTAAATAGGTTTCTTTTGGAGAAAGATATTTTGAATTGTATTTAGTTGCTGTATTCTCTTTACTCTTCTTTTTAAAATTATTCACTTTTGGGTGCCTGGGTGTCTCAGTCGGGTAAGCTTCCGACTTCGGCTCAGGCCATGATCTGACAGCTTGTGGGTTCAAGCTCCATGTCGGACACTGTGCTGACAGCTCAGAGCCTGGAGCCTGCTTCAGATTCTGTCTCTATCTCTCTCTCTGCTCCTCCCCCACTCATGCTCTCTCTCGCACACGCACATGTGCTCTATCTCTCAAAAATAAACATTAAAAAAATAAAATAATTCACTTTTTTCTGCTATTTTAGTGTTTGAGCAAGAATGCTGGTGACATATCAGGTTAGTGCAGACTTTAAGGGTCTTGTGAACAAAAGTAAACAACACCTATAGTTTTCGTTTCTAGTGTGCCAAATGTAACATCTCAACTATGGGCATTTTTCAGATTTTTCTTCCACTAAACTACTAAATATTTCTATGAGTACTTTATCTCTCTCTGTCTCCTCATTTGGCCTGATTCTTCATGTTTGTTTTTGTGTTTTAGGTAGATCAGTTACATCTGGTCTAGAAGGAGTGGCCTTCTGTAGAGTGTCTTGCTGGGCCCAGAAGCCCAATCCCTCCTGGCCACCAGAGCCAGGTATTCAAGGGGGGCATCCCCTGTGTGGCTGCGTGTGCCCTTCTGTTGGGCTGAGCCACATTTGCTGCGGGTATGCTGGTGGACTAGGTGAGAGACCCAGCCGTAGCTGCTGTGGTCATACTTATGGGGGGACGGTTAGCTCCTGGCACAGCTGGCTTCAAGACTTAGTTCCTTGCTGGCTGTCAACCAAAAGCCTCAGTTCCTTATCACTTGGATCTCTCTGTAGGGCTGCTCACAGAATGACAGCTGGCTTCTCCCAGAATAATGATCAGAGAGAGATACACAGACGTAACAGCAATATCTATTATGTAATCTAATGTCAGACAGGACACACCATCATATCCACCATTTGTTGTACCCTGTTACAACAATGGTGTGAGTACATGAGGTAATAGTCACTGAGGACTGCCTTGGAGACTGGCTACCACCAGAGCTAAGTATGGGTTACACTTAGGAGGAACAATCTTCTGAGGTAAGAGAAAGCAATCTCTTTGTCAAGATCTAAAGTGTAAGTAATGGTTGACCAAATGAAGAGTAGCAAGCATGTTCCAAGCACAGGAACCAGCACAAGTTCTCTTAGACTCTGAGATAAGAGAGAGCCTCATCCATTCTTAGAAAGGAGGATTTCAAGATGGAATTTTGAGTGTTTGAAAGGATTGAGACTTGAGGCTGGAGAAGGCCTCAGAGTTCCAAATTCTGTGTATCATCTGTCAGGTAAAGGAATTTGGACTTTATCCTGAGGGCAAAGCAAATGCTCTCAGATTTATGCAGACATGATTTAACTAGTGTTACATTTTAGGAAAGCAACTGGCCACCTAGAATGGATAGAAGCACAATTAGAGGAAGGGAAGGCAGATAGAAACCTGATACAGTCATTCATCTAAGAGAAGACAGCTGCCTTATCTAAATAATGGTAATGTGGTTGAAGGGACTTGGACCAACCTTTAAATACAAAGTCAGTATTTATATATAAAGTCAGTATAACTTGACAATTGTTTAGATGTGGGGAAGTAAGAGAAAGAAGTCCAAGTTTCTGACATTCACTTGGCAATTGAGTGACTGTACCATTGAGTGAAGAAGAGAACACTGAGGGGAGGAGTTGATAGGGAGTAGACATCCCCAATCTGTAGCTGAATGTAGGCCTAGGCCTCAGGAGAGGAATTTGGGCTGAAAAAGGTAGATGTAAATAATCATCATATCAACGATACTTGAAGCCTTCAGTGAGAATGAGCTTGTGGAAGAGTGAGTAGAGAGACAAGATCAGGGCCCTAAGGATGATCAAAGATAGAGGAATGTGTAAACCAGTTCAAGAAGCTGCAGCTACAGAGTAAGAAAAAAGCAGGAGAATGTGGTATGATTTATAATTGTGTTTAAATAATTGTGAAAATATTTCTTCTGTGCTGTGAATTCTCTGAGGATTGTATCTTTATTCTTGCATGCCCTATGACATTTAAAACAAGGATGACAAATAATCGGTATTTGACTTAATATTGCCTATTAAGTGAATAAGTCAAAGGGCACATGGGAAAATGGACCAAGTGCTAATTGAAAAAAATCATTATTTGTCAAACCAAAGAGTATATTCTTTAGGCAATAGTAAATCATCAAAGTCCTTTCAGCAAGGAACAGTGTAATCAGACAAACGTTTTTGTAAATTAACTGTGGTAGCAATGAAAAAATGGATTAGTTACGAAAGATAGTACGCAAAGACCAGCTTGGTTATTGTAATAGGCAAGACGGAATTTAGGCACTAGTCTAATTGGTCTTGGTCCATGGTACACCAGCAAAGAAAGAAGGCGAGTATCACTCTGGGAAATCTTAGGCACCTGGTGGATGATTATGTCAATGCCAACATAGGGAAGGTGAGAAAAGGAGCAAGTTTGGGGGGGAATAACTCCGATTTTAATATATTTTAAATGTTTACATAACATCCACGTAAATATCTTCACTGGGCAGTTGGTAATACAGGTTTTGAATTCATAAGGGAGGTTGAGTTGGAAGAAACAGGTTTAGTAATTAGGCAACAGTAATAGCTCGGGTAAGCATAAAGAACACAAATAGGGGCACCTGGGTGGCCCAGTCGGTTAAGCATCTGACTTCAGCTCAGGTCATGATCTCACAGTTTGTGAGTTCAAGCCTCACGTTGGGCTCTGTGCTGATAGCTCAGACCCTGCTTCGGATTGGGTCTCCCTCTTTCTCTGCCTCTCCCCCACTTGCTTTCTGTCTCTCTCTCTCTCAAAAATATATAAACATTAAAAAAAAATTTTTTTTTAAAGAACACAACAAATATTGCAATGAAGTGATTACTCTGCCTTTGAGGATGAAACCTCACCAAAATCAATTTGGTCAATAAGTTTATCTTCCTTTCTTTAATATTTTAAGTCTAAAAACTTTGAAATGTTTCTATGGATAGAAAGGCAGTACGTGAATTTTAATTTTTCTCTTATTCGCTTTCAAAGGAAAGAAGATTCTATATGATATACTTGCCTTTGCCAAAGAAAGTGTTAATTCTCATGTTACCACACTTGGACCTCAAAATTTTCCTGCCAATGACAAGGAACCATGGCTTGTTGATTTTTTTGCACCAGTAAGTTATTTTTATCTGTCAAATGTCAGTGTTTCAAATTTTCTCTTGTCACAGCAAAAAGACATTTGCTATATAATCTTGAACACTAGAATTGTGTTACTCAATTTTGGCCACTATCACATATTGCTTCTATGAGAGCAGGGTTGTACTTGCCCCTCTAGGGATAAAATACACACACACACACACACACACACACACACACACACACACACACACGATTTACCACTAAGTATGATTTATCTAGCATATATTGATTGTTGCAGAAATGTGGCTTTTTGTTTCATTTAGCTCAGCGCTTATGAATATTTTTTTCTTCCGTAGTGGTGTCCACCATGTCGAGCTTTGTTGCCAGAGTTACGAAAAGCATCAAAGCATCTTTATGGTCAGCTCAAGTTTGGTACACTAGATTGTACGGTTCATGAGGGACTCTGTAACATGGTAAGGCTAAGTATTAAATAGTTATTCTAATCAACATTTTTATAAAATAGTTTTTAAGTTAGACTGACAAAAGCTCTCTTTCAAATGTATATCTACATTTAGAAGAGTAACATTATTTGAACAAATAATTTCAACAAAATGATATAAAATTATGATTGGATTAAAACATGAGTAGACAACATAATTGAGTGAATGTAGACATGGTCTTATTTATCAAACTTGGGAAAATATTGTTTATTTGATAAAATACATGGTCATTCAAGTATTTAAAATCTTTATAATTTTTGATGTAATATCACTTTTGGCAGCCTATAGTTTTATTCTAGGTTTTCTTCATAATTCTCTTCTAAGTGTAGTTAGTAGCTAGAAATTTTAAAAATGAACAAGCTTTTTGAAACTTTTGTATACATAAAAATATGTTCTTAGGTTAATTAATATTCATTCTTCATTCCAAGAATAATCAGAAATTGTATACCTCATGTTGAAAGTATATAATACCACTTAGAACATACTTGGAACAAGTATATGAAACCTAAATCAAATCAAGCTGTGACATCAGTGTTAAGGAAATCTAATGATAGAGGAACATGTTACGTGACACCATGGGCATGAACTCTTCAAGTCCCAGCACGCAGAGGATTTTACAGGACAAACACCTAATGTATTGGACAGATGACATTGAAAAGCAGAAGAGATTAAAGAGACTCAAAAGACATATCCTTCAAATGAAGTGTTTAGGTCTTCTTGTTTGGATGCTGCTCAAACCAAGTGCAAAAAAATGAGCAAGCAATAATTGGGGAAATTTGAACACTGACAGGGTATCTGATAATTATCAGGAATTGTTCATTTTTAGATATTAAAATGACAGTGTAGTTGCATTTCAGGGAAAGTCCTTGTATTTTAAATAGACTGAAATATGGATGAAATGATAAATCATCTGGAATTTGCTTTAGAATAATCTTGGTGTAGGGGTAGAGTTGGAAGGGAGAATAGATGAAATAAGTGTGGTGAGCAGATGATTGTAGCTACAAGAGTACTTGAGAACTTACTGCTCTCTGATTTTGTGTGTATTTTAAATATTTTATAAGAGGAAACTTTTTTAAAAAGATAGAAGAGAGAAAAGGGGGAAAGGGAAGGGAAAAGAAAACAATAGGTTTTAAAAACATAGTAGAAGTTAATGTAGGGTGAAATCTTTATGGCATCTGTGTGAGGAGTAATCTCTCAGTCCACACACACAAGGTAAAAATTAATGTGAATGATTTTAACTATATTAAATGTTAAAACTATTACCAAAGAAAAAGACACTATGAAGTTAAGACAACAGACTATTTGTAGTACTTGTAACTGATAAAGCATTAGTGCCAGAATATTTCAAGGCTACAAATCAATTTTTTTAAATAGACAAAATAAGAAAGTTTGTAGACTTTTTTTTTAGAAAAAGAATTCCAGCATAAAAAATGTTGCGTTTCACTAGTCATCAGGAAAGTACAAATTACAGCAATCCATCAAATATACAAAAATTTAGAAATCTGACATTACAAGTATGTTGATAAATTATCCAGTCACACAATGTAATATCATAGAGCATTTAAACTAGGTCTATCTTTACCAGCATGGGTAAGTCTCAAAAATACAATGTAAGGTGACAAAAACAAGTGCATAATAGCTTACAGAGTATGACAGAATTACAGAAAATTTTTAAGTGCTCAAACATTTTACTATACTGCCCAGGGATACATAAACATATCGCAAAGGAGGAAAACATCAGTAGAATGGACATATACTTATTTGAGGACATCGATTGCTCCTACTTTCATGAAGGAAAGCAAATAGGATCAAGAAAAAAGACCTTCTAGTAATACCAGTGTGCTAAAGAATTTAATCTTCCTTAAATATAGGGAAGGGGATGTGTGGGTATTTGTTAGATGATTTCTCTCTTCATTCTGTTTGAAATTTAACTGAACTATGTTTAAACAATAAGGCCTTTGGTTTTGAATGTCTTATATGTGACTTTGAAAAGATGCTAAGCAAGATACAAACTTAATGTGATAAACAATAATTATCTTAATTTGAATTCTTCTAGTTTTTCTTTTTATCTAAACTATTAAATATTCTTTAGATAATTGAGTAAAATGTAAGGATTTAAAACTGTGGTGTCAAATTCACCTGCAGTAGAGGCCAGGGGTCATTACTCACTAATGAGTAATTGTTGTGGAGAATAGACTAGAAACTACATGTTTAAGTGCTAAAAAGATTCCCAACACATGCTAATCAATCACTAAGTAGATTAACAAAACAACAATTATATCTGAGTTATTTGAATTTACGCTCATTTTACAAATTTTGATAAATATTTCCATTGTTTTTCCTAAAATTATTTTTGAATCCTAGTCAATTTCAGAAAAATTCCAATTTTCTAGTGAGTGCTTATCAACTTTAAGGATGCAAAGTTTAGCTATAGTAAATTCACAAGATAGCCTTGTTAACTTTTAGAAAAGTTAAAAGTTCGAAGAAATGCTTCCTGGGCCAGTGTTGATGTTACTTTGAGGAGGAACTTACAGTATTTTGTACTATAAAAACTACCTTGAATGATGAATAAAAGATGACCATATTCTTAGGAAATGAGTCACAATTCCTTAAAATATGGTTGTATACACATTATTATCCTTGCTCCTTTGCTTATTTTCTTCTAGACAAATTGGAGTATTATGGTTTCAAAAAGACTCAAGCCAGAGATTAGCCTGCTCTTTACAGCCTTATCCTCTTGGTTCAGGAGTCAAAAGGGCCCACACTCATAATTAGCCTTGCTCACTTTTCAGTGTTTCATTGCCCGTGGATTCTGTGGCTAATGGAGTGGCTATAAAAAGGGTAATTTATCAGTGCAACTGTAAATCCATTTTCTTTGCCAAATTTGGCCAGGCTAAAATTTTGCAATAACCCAGCAATTTAGCAATGGACTTTTTAAATGTTGTTACTTAAAAGCAAGCTGGTTATGAATTTGAAACCAATAGGTAAAATGGATAAAATCTTTCATTTGTATTCTCATTCCTAACAGTATAACATTCAGGCTTATCCAACAACAGTGGTATTCAACCAGTCCAACGTTCATGAATATGAAGGACATCACTCTGCTGAACAGATCTTGGAATTCATAGAGGTATTTTAAATTAATTTAATTTATAGTATTGTCAATTGTAGAGGTAATTTAAATCATTATTTTGAAACAGCAAGCAAGTGAAGGAGGGGCAGAGAAGAAGAGAAAGAATCCCAAGCAGGCCCCATGCTGTCATGGCAGAGCCTGATGCAGGGCTTGATCTCTTGAACCGTGAGGTCATGACCTGGGCCAAGATCAAGAGTTGGACGTTTAACCAACTGAGCCACCCAGGGGCCCCTAAATTTTTTTTAAATAGTTTTTCATTTTGTGCTGTATTATTTATTATTATTTCCCCAGTGAAGCTAACACTTTTGTTAATATTACCCCATCATTGTAGACTAAAGCTTTGTTAAAACAGTATTTGGAGCAAGTGAGCTGTTAGGGAAGTTGTGCAGTATCTCCATTCAGACTGTCAGGAAAATAGAATAGTAGGCTTTTCAGTAATAGAGGGTTATTTCCAAACCACTCATTGGTTCTAGAATAGAACTATATGGCCTTTGTAGACATCTAGGCACCTCTAGGCTTTTTGTCCCATCTCCTGTCACCTTAAATACAGTTGCCTTTTTTCCCTACCTAAGATGACTTTAATGATACATAATAGTAAGAAAATATACCTTGATTTCAGAAGATTAATGGGCAAAGTCTAAATTAATTAGGAATCATTTGTCCTTTTTAAAATAATTCACTTTAGATTGTATTTTAAATATAAATAAGTATATTTTGATTCTTCAGAAACAGGAATTTTGGGGGGCTTCTGTGTGTCTCGGTTGAGCATCCGACTCTTGATCTCAGCTCAGGTCATGATCCCAGGGTTGTGGGATCGGGCCCCGTGTTGGTCTCCACGCTGAGCATAGAGACTTCTTAGGATTCTGGCTCTCCCTCTGCCCCTCTCCCCCACTTGTGCTCTCTCTAAAATTAAAAACAGAAACAAAAATAAACCAGGAACTTTTCTAAGTGATAACAGTTTGCCAAGAATGTATCAATACCTTTTTATATCAGTTATAATGAAAGTTAAATTCTCTTTAGGATCTTATGAATCCTTCAGTGATCTCCCTGACACCCACCACTTTCAGTGAACTAGTTAAACAAAGAAAACATGATGAAGTCTGGATGGTTGATTTCTACTCTCCATGGTGTCATCCATGTCAAGTCCTAATGCCAGAGTGGAAAAGAATGGCCCGGGTATAGTACAGTAGTTTATTTAAATCTTAACATTTAGCATTAATGTGTATTTAACAGAATTGTTTTAAAACGGAGATGAACTCACCTCTAGATTATCACTCCCAATAGCTTTAATTACACCACTTAGATTTCAACTCTGTTTCTGTCTGATAGGTGAATGGTATAGAATAATCTACCCTTTTTCCTGTGTCACTTGTTTGGTATGTATCTGACCAAATTTCTGCCAAAGTCAACCCAAAGATCCCTTTATTTTCTATTAAAATTTTTCTACTCCTTTATTTTTAGAGCTTAACAGTACAGTTTCTTCACAATATTGTGGGACTTAAACAATAGCTTTGATCAGTAAAACATTTGGAATTTTAAGATTTCCTACAAATAGACATAGTGTTATAAATCATGAAAGATTGGGGAAAAGTTATTTCAATATGAGAATGGAAAATGAAATCAACTTTTATAGTTCTAAGAAAAAATGAACAAACGGAAGAGTTAAAAGTGATTTCTAGTATTTAATATTTAAGATAATACAATTTTGTGCTCTTCTCAGTAAAATTTTTAAATTCAGGCATGAGTCAGTGTGCTGCAATGCATGTCTCTATTTGAAAAATAACTCTTTGAAATGCCATTGCAGAGGTCTTCATTAGTTCCTGGTTTCTAACACTTAAGTTTTAGAAATATTTCATTTCCCCCCATAAGGTACATGTACGAAATCTGTTATTTAATCTGCAGTAATTGTAGTAAGGTCTTAACTGCAACATTACATTTTCAGTTCATTACTATATATATTGTTATGTTTTAAACCCTTACCCATTTTTATTTGGTGAAAATCACTGGTAAATAATATAAGAACCATCTCAAAATGATGATTTTTCTATTGTAAACATAGTTATGGAGGTAGTTTTATTGTAATCACTTTGATCTATTTTATCTCTCCTTTTTCTCTTTTATAGACATTAACTGGACTGATCAATGTAGGCAGTATAGACTGCCAACAGTATCATTCTTTTTGTGCCCAAGAAAATGTTCGGAGATACCCTGAGATAAGATTTTTTCCCCAAAAATCAAATAAAGCTTTTCAGTATCAGTAAGTGTTGCCTAAAATTTAAAGACATTTATTATAACCACTTATTTAGACAGTTAAAATTTAAAAGTTATCTTAGAGGCTTCGCCAGAAGAGCATGTAACTCTTGATCTTGGGGTCATGACTTCAAGCCCCATGTTGGGTGTAGAGATAAATAACTTTTTTTTTTAAAGCTTATTTATTTGTTTATCTTAACTAAATAAAAGTTAACCCAACAAACATTTTTGGGGAGTCCACCATGTTTTAAGATAGTGTGCTAAGGAGAACCTCAGAAGATGAAAAAAAAAGAATTGAACAATCCCAATGTTCATGAAGCTGGCACTCCAGTATAGAGGAAGATAAAGAGAGGAAGCACTAACATTTATTTAGTCAGTGTTTGGTTTCAGGTACTGTACTTGATCCTTTGCTCACATTGTTTCCACTGGTCCTCACATATACCCTGAGAAATAAGAATTACTACCCTTTCCTACTATTACAGATAAGTAAACTGATCCACAGACTTTCATTAACTTTCCCAAGTCACACTGCTGCTTGGGGTTTCAGCCCAGGTCTGTGTCAGTGCCCATACTTGTTTCTACAACACCACATGGTATTTGAGGTAGACAACTCCAGTGCAAGGCAGAATATAAGGAATATTCTTTGAAAAGTAAAAACAGACCATGAATTTCAAAGAAGGAAAGGATCACAACTATGAGAGGAAATCACGAAAGGCTGCATTTATGAGGTGGCTTTTGACATGGGTCTTAAAAAGTACATAGGAATTTGATAGACATAATAACCAGAGTAAATGTTCAGAAACTGAAGTCTCAGACATTTTGAGTTTTACCATTCCCGTGCTCCTATAGGAGATGTCCAGCAGGCAGCTAAACATTTAGGACTACCTGGAGCACAAAAAAACATCAAGACTAGAGAAAAATGTATTTGAGAAGCCATGTAAGCAGCGTTTGTAGCTAGGTGTAACTGAGAAGAGAGATGCTAAGTAGTCAGTCAAACTTTTAAACTGCTTCAATGAGATTGTTTTCTGAACATATCCAATAATAGAAAATAGTATTTACAACTTTCATATTTGCTCTTCTTTCAGTAGTTACAATGGTTGGAATAGAGATGCTTATTCCCTGAGGATTTGGGGTCTAGGGTGAGTAATTAAAAATATGCATCATTGCATAAAATAGATTCAGTGCTATTTACCTTCGTCTTATGTCTGCAGTTAAATTTACTGTAAGTTTTTTAAGACTCTCACATTTTAAACTACTTAGTAAAGAATTATAATTTACCAAGATAGGGTTGTGCTTTATAGTCATTCTTTGAAGTCAGTTTTAACTTAAAAACTTTTGCTATATTTTAGATGTTTTCCTTGGTTTCATATAATGAAAAGTAATTTTGATCCCTTGCCACAGATTTTTACCTCAAGCATCCATAGATCTAACGCCTCAGACTTTCAATGAAAAAGTTATACAAGGGAAAAATCACTGGGTGGTTGATTTCTATGCTCCTTGGTGTGGACCTTGCCAAAATTTTGCTCCAGAGTTTGAGCTTTTGGCTAGGGTAAGTCTTGTCTATCTATGTAAGTAAGTTGTAGTTACATGCATGTTTTAAAAATTAGATTATTTAAAAATTAGATAAAATAATTAGGTAAAGGTATATATGATTCTTTTTTTCTAAGAAGTTTCCTGTGAATTTTTTAAAAATCCCATTTCATTTCTATGAGTATCATCTTTGTGGTAGATTTCTTCCTTCTTTATTAATACTTTTGGCTAACATCTCTTTCTTGATGGATGACATCATCTAACCATTAGAGACAACTCATTTCTCTTGCTTATTCCCTATTTCCTTCCTCCACCATCACTCTGCTGCCCACCAGCCCATCACTAGATCCTGTCCTGCCTCTTAAGTGCCTTTCAAATCTGTCATCTCCTCGTCATGTCCTCTGCTAGCCTTTCTCTTCAAGCCCTATTCATCTCTTCCAGACTTCTCATGTGTGCCTTTTAACGAGTCTCACATTGCCAGTCTGCCTTATTCAGTTCTGCCCTGCTGATCTTTCTAAAATACTGCCTTCTCTGGCTTCCTGTTAGCCAAGTTTCTTGACTTACGACCTTGATTGCAGGTCTCTGGTGGGACCCTTCCTACCTCTTCAGTTTTATCTCTGTCACCACCCCACACCTCACAGTTCAGACACAGCGAAATACTCCAGGTTTGCTGAGCAGATACTGTTCCCTCTCTCTAAAATGCCTTTTTGTTATTAGTCATCTGAATCTTTCTCTCCTTATCCTACAAAATCCAGCTACATTGGCACTTCTGTATTCTCTGTCCTTCTCAGTGTCACTTTGATGTCTTGTACTCCATTTGGTGTACTTACACAGTGAATAAATATTTAGATATCTATCTCCTCCATAAGACTGGAGCTTCTTGAGGGCAAGGTACAGGTACAGGTCTTATCTGAGTCTAACTCAGGAAATGCTTATAAAATTTAACTGAATGCATAAACAGAATACAGTCTAATTTTTTCTTGTTTCTGTCCCCATCATCCTGTTAATGACCTAATCCAGATTGTTTGCATTCTTGCTTCAGGGAGCTTTGCCTGGGCTACAAAACACTCACTTAGAATGAGAAAGCTCCAGTTTCACCAGTCTAAAGCAAAAGCTGACAATCCTAACCCATCAGGATTTTTTAGCAAAGGGACTTCAAAGCTCCTAGGTGTCATGAAAGATTATTTGTTATTGGATCATCCTTCAAATAAGTTCTTCATCTTTCCCGCTTACTTGATCTTCTTTTCCCCTTGTGCTTCCTTTTTCTCCAGTAATTCTAACAAAATGTTTTCATTCCCTTGTATACTGAAAAACTTAGCTTAGTTATATATTTTATAACATACCTATATCTTGGATATGCCAGAAAGTTATTAAATATGAAAAAGATCATTCAACAAATCCTAAGCACTAGGTGAGAAGCATTACGGTAAGTACTAGAGCTATAGAAATTGAAAGACAAAAGTTACATGTCTGAGGTTTTATTCTAGTGGGAAGATAACATGCAAATAAATACATTTAATACAGCAGGATCATTGCTCTAGTGAAATGAGAGGGGAGCAAGGACATGGGAGGAAGAAAGAGTCTTGCCAGGAAAAGACAAAAGGCTCCACCGAAAACTTGGGATTTGAGATGAGAATTACAACATGACCAGGAGCCTGGCACATGACCAGGAGTTTGGCTAGAGAGTCCTCCGAGCAGAGAGGACAGTATTTGCAGAGATGCAGGGATGCAAGAGAGTGGTGCATGTTCGGTCAACTTCACTGTTCGTCCAGACTACCAGAGTGTAGAGACAGAAGGGGAATGGCAAAAACTCAGGCTTAGTAAATAATTGAGGAGGAAGAAGGTTTGGTCCTCTTTCTTTGTGATTTCATATTGTTCAGAATAAGTTCTGTATAAGCACTAGGGGAAAACTATTGGATATGGTAGGATCCATTTTACATTTTAGAAAGAGCACTTTGGATGGAACTGTACACAGGCCAGCAAGGCCAGAGAACGATATGAGAGCACCAGAAACAATATGGTGTTCCTTTATAAGCAATTGAAGATACAAGTCAACTAATGTTAAAGGTAAACATTTTGTAAATTTCTCTGACCTTCAGTATAAGTGTGTTTCTGCATGCAGCTTTGCTGCTGCCCTAACCCCTCTTGAGTAAGCCGGCATTGGCCACAAAACTAGAGGCAGCAAAGGTATTTTAATTGTCCTGAAGTGAGAGAGGTTATCTGAACCGGGATAAAGGTAATGGTGATAGAAAGAATGGGACAAATGTAAAAGAGATAAAAGAATAGGATTTAATGTCCAATTAATTGTGGTAAGTGCGACAGAGAAAGAAGTCTAAGATGGCCCTAGTTTCTGGCTTGAATGAGGGAATAGTAGGACAGAAGGAAGAGTAGGTAAAGGGAAAGGTTCCGTGTTAGAAATCATCTGTGCAGGATGCTTATTTAGTTGAACCAGGCCAGTACATAGGTGAGTGTGAAATCAGGGGAGGTTGGGCTGAGCAGCACATCTCGGCACATTTATATATAAAATCTCCCTTGGGAGATTGCTCACAGTGAAAAAAGTGTTCGCCATAGATGCAACTGTGATTAAATACTATAATTTGAGAGGCAGGTGTAGAAAGAGGTCCCCATGCTAGAAATGAGATAGTACAGCCTGAGGAGTAAGAAAGCCAAGAGAGAATAGTGATAAATGCCAAGAAAGAAAAAAGAAAGGCATGTTTAGCAATGTCAGGTACCCATTAAGACTGAAAAGTGTCCATTCAGTTTGGTCAAGTAGTCACTGCAGAACTTACAGCAGTTTCAGTGGAGGGAGCGGTAAAAACAGAAGCTAGACTAAAATCTGTTGATAAATGAGATGATGAGGGAGGAAAAGCAATGAAAGACTAACCTCAAAAAAAAAAAAAGAGAAGCAAGGAGGTAGCTAGAGGAACCAGTACAATTAAGAAAAGAATCCTGTTTTGACCATATGCGCATACCCCAAAGAGCATGTAAGACACCTGACAGAGAGGAACTGGAGAATGTAGGTGTCGACAGCCTTCTGCAAAATGAAGAGTGTTACCTCGCCAGGTGAGACCAGAGAATGGGAGAAGGCGTTTGAGGACAGAATCGGGAGTTTGTGGTGCGATGGACAAGGTATGGGGACCAGGAAGGAGTTTTTCTTGATAAGAGCCACTAAAAAATTTGGAAGCAATCTTATTAGTATGGAAAGGATTAAAACTTAAGTTTTTGAAATAAGTCTTTATTATTACAAAGATGTGAAAATTTTAGTGTCATGTTGCCTTGTGGTTGCCAAAATAGTTTATGCCACAGTGAATGGCAAACCCCACTTCTCTCTTTTCAGATGATTAAAGGAAAAGTGAAAGCTGGAAAAGTAGACTGTCAGGCTTATGCTCAAACATGCCAGAAAGCTGGTATCAGAGCCTATCCAACTGTTAAATTTTATCCCTACGAAAAAGCAAAGGTATGTATTTGGCGTTCCCGTATGTGCCTTTCTTTTAGCAGACCCAGTTGAAAAGGTTTGTTATTAGTGTGAAGGTTTTCATTAGCTTCTCCTTCCTTTGTCATGTTTTATTTTATTGCATATTGCTGAAGCTTCTTTTCACATATACATCAAGTGATTTTCAAAGGTTTTTCTGTCTCAAAGTTGATATGATCCACTCCTTAAAATTTTTATACTAATGAATTACAGAAACTACTAAAGACACATAGCAGGATACTAGAGTAGTTTTTTCTGAGTGGAGAAGTCAACATAATTATATTCTGTGAAGTTCTATATTTTCTACTTTTATACAATTACATATTACCTTTATTATTTTTTCCAGGAAAGGAAAAAATTAAAAGAATACTATCATACTTTTGAAGTAGACTAGTACCTGAACATTTGTCTTGAGGAATATTTATTAGTGGTTTAGACTGCAAAATAAAAGTTAGGGTCCATGGCTTGATCACAACTCCCTTCTTTGGGCCACTGACAATATGCTTTTTTTTTTTTTTCCCCAAAAAGAAAATTAGACATTTACCAATGGATCTTAAAACTCAGGCGATAACCTCTACTATCATTTATATAAATGCATATATCTTTCAACCACTGTAATTGCTAACTGAAAATACTCATGACTTTTGCTATCTTCCTGAGTAAAAGAATGATATTTTTGACAATAGAATTGTAATTAAATAAATAAGGATTTGCCATGTATTCATGTTTTATGGTAAAACATTTCAAGTAAATATATTTTTTGAGAAGGAGTATCAGCTTAACATGTCAGGTTATTTATTGGAAATTATATTTTAAAATAGAGTTAAAGAAATTAGATGGATTTTAGAAGTCTAGAATTGTCAACTAGATGTTTCAATGAAGGACTTTGATTGGTCCAAGAGGCTAATTCTGTCTTAAGAACAGCCTAGGGTAAACATCTCAGTGAGAGTAAAGGAGCTTATATCAGGATCTGAATTCACTTCATCCCTTTGGAATCACTAGCTCTGCTTTCTAATTCTCAGAATAGCTGAGAAATGGGTAGCATAAGTAGGGGTCTCAGGTAGAATGATGTAAGCAAAGTATCAATATAATGAGCAGTCACAGAATTAATCTGGCCATAGAAGGAGCTCTTTGAAAAGATGATGTTACCATGTGTCTAAAGGAGCCCCGAGGACATTAGACACCAAAATATCCCTGTACAAACCGAGACAGGTGGCATCCAGAAGACCAGACCAGATTTGAAAACCAAAGCAGAATAATGATTGGAGTTAACAGCAGTACAAACCAGGTGGGCAGGTACACACAAAAGCAAGATCTTAACAGATAGTGTGGAGTTCCCACTAGGAAGCAGGAAGCAAATGACTCCAGATCCAAAGTAAAGCTTGATATATTGACCTGCCCCCTTCACTGCTTTTCAGCCACCTTCCTACTGTGCGCAGATGAAAACCAGGAGATAACACATTACTTTCTAGTGTTGTAGTTGGTCAGGATTTTAACTGTGCCAATGACATATGTATAAGATTAGAATGATTTGAGTCCTCTGGGGGATGGCTTTTCTTTATATTTTAGTTGTTTTGAATTAGATTAGATTAGTTAGAGCTGGCAATGCATTTTTTCCAAGGAAATACTTTAAATGTGTTCATAACAGTATCATATTTAAGTAAATTATGAGTTAACTGCTTTGTAGCATTATTTCCTTGAAGAAATTTGAGTTTTAAACATACATTTAGAACTTTAAGGAATAATCAAGTTTCTTAGATGCAAATGTCATGTTTTGATTAGACACCTAAAAGATTATAAGAAGAATGTTTTTTATTTTAGAGAAACATTTGGGGAGAGCAAATAGATACCAGAGATGCAAAAGAGATTGCTACCTTAATATATGAAAAATTGAAAAATCTTCAAAATCATGGAAAGAGAGATAAGGTAAGGACTAAATCTAGAGCTGACTTCAGCCAGCTTTATACTGTACCTTATATTTATCAATAAACAGGTACAATGGAAGCTTCAAAAAATAGTAAAGTTGAAGTTTCTTAATTCAAAAATAGGACAATCAGAATGTAACCTCTGTATATTGAAAAGTGTAGAAATTTGCACAAGTACAACCGTTTAAAACATAGTGAACTATGGCCATAAATTATTTAGATTTTGTTAAAATGTAAATAAAGTATTGACTTCTTAGGAATAAATACGAGGCTCCAGTGTAACATACTTTGCATAGCAGATTTTCTTTTGGTATAGTCAGGATGTATCAGAACCCATACTCATTTCAGCCCCTCCTAGAATTGTATCAGTCAAACAGTGCAACCTCTGCTATTCTTTGGAAGAAGTGTTCATTTTTTCTTTTTTAAGTCATTGTCATTCTAGGACATACAAACAGACCAAAGAGTCCGTGAATGCTGGAATGCTTTCTGAGTGGAACTTAATAAAATCACATAGAAGTTTCTTGGATTGTTTCCCTATAAGGTGAAAGAAGAACAAAAGAACCAGCGCATATTCTGGAGAGGGCTAGAGATGTCTGGCTTTATAGAACCATATTAGAACTGCACACTCCAGTATAAAAAGCCTTACATCCTGTATCAAGGGTTACATTTTATCCAAATCTAAAAGATAGGAAAGAGATGGTTACAATTATTTCCTTGGGTTTAGGGAACAAAAATGTTTTTCTGGTGTTTTGATTTATTTTCGCTTCCTCAGGAGGTTTTAAAGTGTGACTTTTATCTTAAGTTAAACATCTGAGGGGCACCTGGGTGGCTCAGTCGGTTGAGCGTCCAGCTTTGGCTCAGGTCATGATCTCACAGTCTGTGAGTTCGAGCCCCGCGTCAGGCTCTGTGCTGACAGCTCAGAACCTGGAGCCTGCTTCGGATTCTGTGTCCCCCTCTCTCTCTCTGCCCCTCCCCCACTCATGCTCTGTCTCTCTCTGTCTCAGAAATAAATAAACATTAAAAAAATTTAAAAAACAAAAAAAAAGCATTTGAAACAGAAAATGTCATTAGTCATAGCCAGAATATCAGAATTGAAATTCAGTTTAGAAAGGTACCAAAATATGACTGTAAAACTGTAATTGATAGTATCTGCATGAGCAGGTAAGAACTAAGAGATATCCCTTTTCCTTTCCATTGTTACATTTAGGCAAGGTATATTTCATATGGTGATCCATTAAATAATTATTTTTTAAAAGATAAAGTAGGGCGCCTGGGTGGCGCAGTCGGTTAAGCGTCCGACTTCAGCCAGGTCACGATCTCACGCTCCGTGAGTTTGAGCCCCGCGTCGGGCTCTGGGCTGATGGCTCAGAGCCTGGAGCCTGTTTCCGATTCTGTGTCTCCCTCTCTCTCTGCCCCTCCCCCGTTCATGCTGTGTCTCTCTCTGTCCCAAAAATAAATAAACGTTGAAAAAAAATAATAAAAAAATAAAAGATAAAGTACTATAAACTAACCAACATTTTAATGTAAATTCATACTTTTTTCTTTCAATCACTTTTATATTATTGTAGGATGAACTTTAATGATGATGAAGATGAAGAAAAAAGAGAAAAGGAATTCTAACAAATGACATCAAGAAGACCTCTTTAGGACGTTGCTGCATTCTGGGTTGGAATAAATGAACATTGGAATTGTAATTGCACTGTCTGAATTCTGTACAACATTGGTATAAATGAAAGGTCTGCAAGCTTTTTCTGTAAAAGGCCAGATCGTAAATATTTTAAGTTTTGTAGACCATGTACAGTTGTCACATATTCCTTTGTTTGCTTTGTTTACAACCCTTTAAAAAATTAAAAATTGTTCTTAGCTCAGGGCCATGCACAAACAGGCCAAGCCACATTCAGTCCATGGGCCATAGATTGCTGACCCCTGGAAATGACACTAAAACTGGCTGGCTCAAACAGCAGCCTGCTCTGTCATGTACATATATGTCTGGGATCTATTCCCTCAAGTTTTGTGGCTGGCCTGAAAAGAAAAACTTGGCATTTAGTTACCTGTTTTAAAGATTGTGTGAAATGGATTCTGACCATAGTTTCTTTAAAAAAAAAAAACACATGATGTGGCAAGCAGATACCCTATTTTCATGCTGTATTATAGTGAAGAGATTTTCTTTTTTCTTTCCTTTCTAAAGGCTGAAGAACTGATTTTAATTTTTCACAATTGAGAAAAAATTTTTAACAAATCCAATAGATTTCTACAGCATCTAGAAATACCTGAGGAAAACAATATTCATAGCTATTAACTGGGCACTGTAGAGTATCCCAAATATATCAGTATTTAGAGTTCTATATTTTAAAGATCTATGTTCATTTATTTTCTGAATTGCTTTCATAAATGTTTTCCCTGTGATAGCAATTGACTTTTGAAGCATTGTTCTAATATTTATGGTTTTGCCTTTTGGACTTTGTTTTGATGTAGATCCTCTATTTGCCTTCCCCATAGTTGAGGTTTTTCACTCTTGTCTCATTTGTTACTCAGATACAAAAAGTGTGCAGGCTTGTTTCACTATGACTCATAATGACACTGTGGTTATTCCAATTGTTAGTTTGCTGCTGGAGGCTGCTGTTTCCAGATAAATATTGTCATAACTGAACTTATTTTTTTAAGAAAATCAATTATATAAATCTAAGGATGGGATCTTTTAATTTCTCGGTTGTTCAGACTAAAAGAATCCAAGAAGTTTTTGCTCGCATTTTCACAAAACATTGTCAGTAAAGTGCAGTAATTTAGTTACAGTTGAGAGTTTATGGAATGGTAAAAATTCTGATCAAAAGAGGTCAGTGAATTAAACAACAACAGTTTTCTCAAAAACTTACTAGGATTCTACTTTATTATATTGGAAGCGTTTTATTTTTTTTAATGTTACTTTATCTCCTTCCCCAATATTTCCTCATAATTTTATCACTGTAATTTCTACAAAAACAGATTTTATTTTCAAATCTAACCCAATGCCTCATATTCTCTCCTACTTTGCTTCAGTTGTATCCTTGGAGTCCTAACCTTGGATTCCACATCATATACGTGGGCAGTTTCAGAACACCCACCACTTCTAACCTTAATTCAACCTTTCTGAATTATGATCAGTAATGGCAAGTGTCTTTCATTTATTAAATTTTCACTGCCTAGAAATCTTTCAAAATTGGCTTGCTTCTATAAGAATGTCAAAATCGAAGACCTAAAGAAGTCTTGGTAAATATTTATTGAATTAATATACCAATTATTTGAATACCACTGTGCTGGACAGTGAAGCATATGTAGAAGGAATCCAAGGGATGGTCTCTGTCTCCCGTGTGTCTATAATTCACAGTTCTGACAGTGAACCCATAAACAGGTTTAAAGGTACCTAAACGACTTACTAAGAAACATTTTAGGCAGTAAAAAAAAAAAAAAAAAAAATTAGTAAACAATATGTATCCTGTAACTTGGTCTAAGTATGTGCCTGTGGAATTGGCTCTAAAGCCAGGGCTGCTGGTAGTCATGTTAAATAGTATATATATATATCCTACAGTATTCATCAGGAGGCTATTGTCTACAGTCATCTCAGTGTCGAAAACAGCTGGCAGAATTAAAGGTTTTAACAGCCATGTAAGTAGAGCACTCTGAAGAGTGCCTGATAAAACATGCCCTTTCTCTCAGAAACACCATTTTTGTGTGCAGCTGGCCTTGGGTATCACAGCACCATATCTGGCAGACCAGGGAGTATTCTATCAGGCATCTGTATTTGGAAATTAGATACATTTAAATATGTGACTATAGGAAATTTGGAGTTCGTGTTTTTTACATTAATGTGCTTACTTATTCCAATTACCCAAATTTTATTTAAGGTCTTATATATCGTTTTTACTTAAAGTATATGATTAAGATAAAAAAATGAGATTATTTTTATATGGTAAAAGTTTTCCTTAAATTTTTGCATTTTCTAACAGTATTCAAAGCAGGCATTTTCTTAGGTACAGTTATCAGAATTGCTGTGTTGTTTCCCATGGGACACATTTACATTTATGTCTTTAATGAGGTAATATTTTTAAGCCATTTTAAGAGAATTTTTGTATAATTAGTCCACAGGTTTACCAAACTCAGGTAAATGTCTTAAATTAGACCTATTTGGCCCATCCTAACTGTTAAATAGTACAAAGTTTAAATTAACAAAGTGCATTTTAAATTTTCTATAGTGATTCCTATAAGTGATTCTGAAGATGAAAAGGAAATGATCTTTGTAGTAATATGCTACTTCCACATATACTGAAACTTTTTTTTTTTTATTTTAACATTTATTTATTTTTGAGACAGAGACAGAGCATGAACAGGGGAGGGTCAGAGAGAGAGAGGGAGACACAGAACCTGAAACAGGCTCCAGGCTCTGAGCTGCCAGCACAGAGTCTGACGCGGGGCTCGAACTCACGGACCGCGAGATCATGACCTGAGCCGGAGTTGGACGCTTAACCAACTGAGCCACCCAGGCACCCCATATACTGAAACTTTTAAATACACCCAGATGCCTCTGGTGAATACCTTATTTTCGGTAAGAGTAATGACAGGTCAACCACCACGCTAAATAGAACTGTATTATCATATCTAAAAATGTTAGTAATTCACAACTTGAGTCTCTTTTATATTTAACAGTAGATTTGCACTTAGATTCATATCCTGTCACCCCGTCCCCTTGTTAGGAAGGAGTTGGATCCATTTTGTGAAAGGTGATTAACCCAAAGTACAGCTAGAGGCTGATGCCAGACTAGCTGATATGGTATCTTGATTAGTTCATTGCATTGTCTGATCACTTGATCATTCTTTAGTACCTGCTTTCCTCTTCAAAAAAGATCAAAAGACCTATTCAAAAAGATCTGTGCTAATGTCTATGAAAAATTTTTCCATGTTAATTACTGATAGAGAGGGGCGCCTGGGTGGCGCAGTCGGTTAAGCGTCCGACTTTAGCCAGGTCACGATCTTGCGGTCCGTGAGTTCAAGCCCCGCGTCCGGCTCTGGGCTGATGGCTCGGAGCCTGGAGCCTGTTTCCGATTCTGTGTCTCCCTCTCTCTCTGCCCCTCCCCCGTTCGTGCTCTGTCTCTGTCCCAAAAATAAAAAATCGTTGAAAAAAAAAAATTAAAAAAAAAAAATTACTGATAGAGAACTCTTCATTAAATAACTGCTATTCCAAACATTTTATGTGAGGAGGTAAAATACTAAAATATATGTATCGGTTCCAACAGAAGGTAGTGAGATAGATAGGCTCCTGAATTCACCTTCTCCCATGGACACACTGAACATACAGATATGTACAAAACTATTCCCTCTGAAAGAAATCCAGACACCAGCCAAGTGACTCTTACACGTCAGGTAAATGAGAACACACACACACACACACACACACACACACACACACTGGAGTGGGCAAGAGAAGCTATGGCACAATCTCATCATTAACCCCATCCCCTGATGCATTATCACAACAAGGAGGAAACTTTAAGACTGCCAACCAAGAACACCCAGAAAACTGTCCTTCAGAATTAAAAGTGAGAGTCTTCCAGATAAGCAAAAGCTGAAGGAAGTCATCACCATTAGACAAGCTTTACAAGGAATATTAATGGGACTCAAACCAAAATGAAAAGGCATTAGTCAATACAAAACGTGAAAATATAAATCTCACTGGCCAAAGTATATACTTAAAATCACTGTACTCTAATGTGATGCTGGTGGTTCCATCATTTATAAATCTAGTATAAAGTTTGAAAGACAAAGGTCGTAAAACTATAATTGTTCATACTAAAAAGACTTAAATTCGGACATCAAATAAAGGAGTAAAAGGGTAGTTTTTGTAGGAGGGTAAAATTTAATTGTTAGCATCAGACTGATATATATAAAGATGTTCTGTGTAAGACTCATGGTGATCACACAGCAGAACCTGTAATAGATGCACAAAAGTTAACGAGAATAGAATAAAATGAATCTCTACACTCATAAGACAGCAAGAGAGCAAGAACAAGAGAACTATAAAACAGCCAGAGAACAAATGATAGTAAGGCCTTCCCCATCAATAATTAAATATAAATGAATTCTCCATTCAAAATACATAGAATAGCTGGATGGATTAAAAAAACAAGACCCAATGATCTGCTTGCCTACTAGAAACACTACAGCTCTAAGGACACACAGCTCAGAAGTGAAGAGAAGGAAGAAGTTGTTACCAGTGGAAACCAAAAGCTGATCTAGCTATGCTTATTAGACAAAATATACTTTAAGAGAAAGATTGTAATAAGTGACAAGCTCATTATATAATGATAAAGGGATCAACCCAACAATTACGCACCTAAATTAGGAGCAACTAAATATATAAAGCAAATGTTAAGACTTCAAGGTAGAAATAGCAATAATAGGGTATATCTCCCCATTTTCATCAGTAGATAGGTCATCTAGACAGAAAATCAAAAAGAAAACATTAGACCAGATGAATAGACATTCGCAAATGAACAGGGAACATTTTCCAGTATAGATCATATGTTAGGCTATAAAACAAATATTAATAAATTTAAGAAGTTTTCAATCCTATCAAGTATCTTTTCTGATGGTGTAAAATACAAGGGGAAAAAACGAGA